AGATCTCAATTGTACTCCAAAGAGAAGAGAAGCAAGTTCAGCCATCTTTGTCCCAGGAGTTATCCTCCAGCCACCACCATTCCCTCTTGCAAGATTCGATCTTTGCAGCAAAAGGAAGTCAAGAAATCAGTTCTTGACATCAGTCTTGCAAGAAAGACTAAAAAGACTCTGTGTTTAGTATTTCCAGAGGATTTTTGCGAATGATCCAGTGTGTAGGACACACCCTACTGGTTCTGTTCCATCCACAGTTGTGTCATTTTCAGCAGGAACGGATCTTGGTGCATTCTCTGGGTGTGAACACCAACTTTGGGAGATACTGCTTCTCCGTATCAGGTATATTCCTCCCTTTTACTTTTTGGTTCAGATCTGGTTCGATTATGGTTCAAGTAARATCCTTGAATATGGTATTCTAAATTTAGGGAATATGATTCCCAGTTGGAAGAAGGTAAGAATTTTTTTTGAAATTCGCCCTCCCATTCCGCAACCTTATTGGCGTCCATTAGATGGATCCTAACATTCTTTCATAAAGATTCCTCTTAATAGATAAGTGTTAAGAGAAAAGGAATAAACTCTAAGTATACCCTTACTGTTTGACTATTAACTTATTTATACTATTTTGAAAAATTACCATAAAATATTGATGAAAGGGCTGAAATGTCCATTTTACACTTAATTCAGATTAAAAGCTCCCTTAGGCTCCATTTGTTTTGTGAGAAGATTTAGGTGGGATGAGAAAAGATGAGATAGGATGAAATGGAAAAATGTGAAAGTTTAACTTTACATTGTTTGGTTTTATTGGTATGGGATAAGAAAGTGTAAAAGGGACCGAAATGGCATTGTTCACCTTCCTCCGTTGGAGACGAAAAGAGGCGAGTCAGCGACGCTACCCCCTTCATCTCCCACTCTCTTTCTCCTCTCTTCTTCTTCTTCTTCTCGTTTTCAACCTCTATGTTTATTCCCGATTGCCACCGCAACTTGTATGGTCCTCTTCACCCACGTCTAGTCACCCTGCCTCCAATGCCGGCACTACTGGTTCCGATAGTCATAAATCCATGGATCCTCCATTTTAACACATTAGGACCATTTTACAAAGTCAAATGGTTTGGGCTGCTCAATCCAAAGATGCTTCTATTTGCGTTTCATGGAGTTATTCTAATTGCTTATAGTTTAAGTTATGAGATTACCAGAAAAAATGTTGAGCTCGGAGAGCTCGGCTTCATAGTCGGAGGCTATATTTGAGTGGCTTCGGGTACCAGCCCAAGGTCTATCCCTCTCGTCAAACAAGGCGTGCAAAAGCTCTCTCAAACAAGGCTATATTTCTTCAAGGAGGAGCCACACAACTCATAGTTTCTGTAATGGGCTAGGGATGGATTTTCTGAAAACCACATTCAGCCTCTTCGGTGGCATCGTTGTTTTCAGTTGCAGGACCATTATTATCGTGATGGTGATTCAGTGGGCAGGGGATGGATTTTATTATTTTCTGGATTCGCATTCAGCCTCTTCGGTAGCACCGCTGTTCTATTCAGTTGCAGGACCATTATTGTCGTGGTAGTGATTAGGGGTTTCACCGGGGAAGACTCCAATGGATTTCAACCTGCAAACCAGAGTCTTCCGCTAACGTAAGGGAAAGATCCCATAGTCACTATACATTGTAACCCCGTCCCCGTTTGATACATGCACGAGGGGACAGTATATGAAGAAACCTCCGACATCATTTGTTGCTTCCGGTGAAGGTAGATTTTCTCTGTTTCTAATGAAAATCATGTTCCATTCATTCTCACTGCGTGTATAAGTTTTCGGTGTATGTTTTCCACTCAGCAAGTTGAACCCAGCACAAACCAAGTAGACACTCACACACCATGAGGATTGACGATTGAGGAGGCATTTTAACGATACTTATGTTAAGTGAAACGAATAGTGATACATTTTTTTGCGTTTAATGATCGAGAGGATTTGTGTTCAATTGGCTTGGGAGTTTCATTTTGGTGGCACTAGATTCAATTAATACAGCTGCCTGTATCTGCATCTGCATGGCAACTCCGATCACGATGTGTGCCTTCACCTTAGAGTGAGAGATAACATCTGCAGTCAATGATCGATTGTTCCCTTCTCTTGCTACATATCTGCGCCCTCACCTTGATTCAAAATCAAGATCGCACTTCTCTGCTTTCTGCTTGGCTTCTCGTTTCACCGCTGCAATTTGGGAGAAGACACGGCAAAAATAGAGAGGGGAGTGAGGGAAGTTTTGGTTCACGATACATAACCAGAATTTTGACTATGCGACAACCCGAGGACTGTTGGAACAGAGGTGGTGTTGTTAAATCGTAACGAAAAGGATGAAATCTCCATTTTGCCCCTTCCCTCTGTTTTCCACGACCGCAAGCGACGGTTTATCTTTCCTCAACCACTCTCTCTCTCTCTCTCTCTCAGTAGT